GCCGCTTTGTTCACGGTGTAACCCCATGGAGTATGGTGGCTGTTAAAGTCGTCCGCATAAACTGTTGGGTGAGGCATCGCTGATAATGGTATTGTTGGTCAATTGGTTCCGGGACGCTTATACATGTTCATTATAGTGATTTCTCCGACGGTAACTGTAGTGAATTCGAGATCATTCAATTCGACTATATGTTCGCCGATCCGATTTTCGCCGTTGTTTATCACCGCGACATTCTTCAGGTCTAATCTGGCATGGGCAGTTAGACCGTGTTTACCATCGCAGATGTTAGAGACCATACCGAACCCAGCAATTTTGTATCCGGCAAGTACTCAATCATCATCTTTGATGCGCGTCTACTGGAGAAAGCAAATATCAGTCTTGTTTTCTTTTAACGTCCTTGACAGATATTTACATTCTGCGTAGGAAATGCCTCCGACGTTCAGCTGCAAAATGCTGAGCGCGTGGCCCAAGGCTTTAATTCTTTGACCCTCATAAAGAATGTTGGATTTCTTCGCTCTTCTTCTATGGTCCTCATAAGGACCGTTGGGTTTCTTTGCTCTTCTTCTTTTATGGCCCTCATAAGGAATGTTTAGTTTATCTGTTTTTCCTCCGCGACCTTCACAAGGGCCACTGGGTTTATTTCGTACTGGTTTACATGTTTGGTTCTGAGAAGAACCGCTAGATTTGTTACTAGTCGAGCCGAGAGATTGCTTTCGCAACGTTCAGCTGCCAGATGACGACATTCATTGTACTGTTAAGCTTTGGCGTACTTTCGCAATACGTAACAGCAACACCACGTGAAGGTTGTCGTCTTGTCCCCAATTTTGAAATAAATTCATCACAGGCTTTCCAGGCTTCCGCAAATGCAATAATAATAATATAGCTAACAGTTTCATTGATGCCTGCAGCACAGTCGCTCTGATGACCAGCAGAATCACGATATCTTCTTTGGAATATATGAGTCGAGTTCAACCAACATTGCTGAAACCAACGAAATGTTCGAAATAATTCACGGCTAGGCGAAGTTTACCTTAGAGAGGATTTCGAGATCTGCATCCCATACAAAAACTTTGAATCAACGTTTCCGAAAACGTGATAAATATATTCGACAAGTACATAACTTACTAAATGCTCTAGCAAACGGCACGCTGGAATGAGGATCAACAAGCCAACTTGCTTCCGGATTACGCAATAGTGGACTTGTCATCCATGGCAGCCGAAGAACGGGCCCACGTTTTGTCAAAATGCGAAAAAGAAGCAGCAAAGCTTCTCTTGCCAACTGATGCAAATTCGGAAAAATTCGAGGATACAATGTCAAAAAGTGGAAAATGTGTTGATTTTGCCGACTCTAGATCTGGTCTGAGTGAATGCAGACCCAGGAACAGCACAGACATTTTTGAAGAACGTTCAGGAGACATTTCGGCTAAAGAATTCGATGAAAGTCATGGAACTTATGAAAATTTCAACGCGACAATTCCACCGACAATGGTATGTAGTATATAAATATACATATATACGTAGAAAAAAACAATCTCATTATGTGACTACGTGGCTCAGTACCTAGGTAAGTTTCGAACTTACTAGGTATCGAGTTCGATTCCGCGGAGGGTAATATTTGTCATAAACACAGATGCTCTCGAACAAGGAATTTATTTTCCGACCAGGGTTGCTCAGTCGGCAGAGCGTCAAATTAAGACTCAAACGGTACGGGATTTGAGCCCTAAATCAGGGTAGGGTCATTTACCTTCCTTCCTTCCGAGATTTATAAACGAGTCCCACTCTGCGGAAAAAACAAGAGACTACACGCTCTATTTGACACACAGCCACTGGCAACCGAGCTTTTAAAATAAGGCACTACTGGCTGATGGCATGGACATGGAGATCAGGGTCTCACCATTCATTTCGTAAAGAGAAAGATGCCAGAAATGACATAATCATAGAATTGCAAGGAAGACCGATATTCCGAAGGCTACAAACTTTACTTTCCATTGTTTCCACTAGGATATTTAACTTTTTCGATATTTTCTCAATACAAATACCTATCACTGAAAATGCACCATAAGAAGCTAACGATGTTCATCAAAACAAAATCTTACAATAGTAAGAACTGTCAAAAAAGCAAAGATTTATTGAACAACTTAAATGTAAATCTTCCGGATGAGTTCTTCGACTATCGTTTCACCTGAGCTGCGGCTTCCTTACGAGTCGCGTCCTGAAGCAGCAGAGTGTCGACTTCTTCGGGAGAAATCTGGACGTAGCGTACTACTGACCCACGAATAAAGCAGTTTTTGACCGAAAGCATGTGCGGGTATTTTTCGGCATCCGTCACAGAGATATCGGTCAACTTAATGTTCAGAAACTGGTCAACGGAATGAAGCGTTCCAGCAATGCTGAGGTCATTCTTCAGCTCCACGACAACTTCTTTGCCAACGAGAGACTTGAAGAACGAGAAAAACAGCATAGTAAGTAATCGGTACCTAACGCTGTAAAAGTTTGATCAAAATACTTCGAAGAAACAGTCCAAAAACGAATGCACAATATATAGATACAAATCGCAATTGGTTTGGAGAACTGTAGTAAAATGATGCAGATCGTCACGTTCAAGAACTGAAATACTTCTTTCTGTATTCAGTCACAAACAATTACTGACAGAACCAACCTTATGGCTGATCCGCACCGTTTTTGAACATTCTCGATCCTCTGTATTTAATAATTTAAAGCATATTGATAGCAAAGTTGTTCAACGCCAAATGACTGAAAGTTTCTTAAGAATCTGAAAAAGAGTTTGGTAAAGTGCCATGTATTTTACAAGGCATGGACAATGTTTTGATTCTTTTCATTAAATTCAAGGATTTGAGTTCGTTGCCAGAAATAATGACTCAATAATTCTTTTACTCTTATAGACAATATAAGAGCGCCAATAAAATGGAATTCCAGCGTATTTAGTTGCTTTACATTCAAATTTCATGCAGATTAATACCATAATTCGAATGTTATTGGAAGTATTTTACCGCCATGCACGTTGTGGTATGTTCATTTGCTTTATTTCGAACTACAGTACGGTAATTTTCTACAGCGTGCAAAAGGATCCATTCACCAAATTCCTGCACACCCGCTTTGACGGCCTGATCCGCGCAAAAGTATCTTATGGGTTGCTATTTGGTTAGAAAGCGGAAATCAACATTTGGTAGGCAAAGTGTTTCGAAATGTATAACCTGATTGGCTGGAAAGCTGTTACAGATGGTGCAGTAGTAATGAGTTCGACGATTTTTATATACTGAGCGAATAACATTGTAGGTTCCTTATGAACTTGCTGATCATATCTTATGGTATGCCAGAGCTAAATGTACTGTCGCTAGCGGAATAGCAGATGATACAAGATAGGGTCAGATGTGTTTTGAGGCCATATAAAATATGGGTTGAGTACCTCATCCTTCGCCAGCAAGCAAGCTTCTCTGCGAGGTCAGTGTTTTAGCTAGGTGACTGTTTATTTAAAAATTTAGTTTTTCATTGAAAAATTGAGCATAAACGTTTTCTATAAACACGTGAAGTTTTTAGCTTGCGGCAAATTTATTCAATTTTTTTAGTTCTTCAAACTGTTTTTCAGTCAGGGGATTGGAAGTGGCAATCGAGATAAGAAATTTCATAATTGGCTGTCCTGTCGAGCAGCATCCAGACCAAATATGTCCGGATGTCACGTCGTATATGATGAGGGAGTGTGATATGTGTGAATGTGAAATGTCACCCTCACGATGAATATTTCAGGGTTGTCCAAAAAAAGTCAAATTGTTGGTCAATTTGAATCACTGGTTAATTTTCTGCCTCAAACATTGAGGTGAAAGCGACTCCTTAAGTCAAGTCAGGTTTATTAGCTTATGCAGCGATTACTGCTAACAGCATAAGCGCATCCATTACTCTAGAATCATGCAAGCTAGTGAAACTGATATGCAGGTTAATGGTTAATGGCAGGTCAGGATATTATTTACAAATGATTGCTCTGGCTTTATCGGAGCTCTTGCGAGAAAGGTAGAATTCATATAGATATGGAAGGGCGTATCCATTCCTGGTCTTTTTGAATCATAGTTCATATTAAATAACGCATAACTCACAGAGCATCAGGTTTCACGCCGTATTGAACTGCCTTTGTTTCTAGTTGCCTACGGGGGTGGGAGGGTGATTATTTAAGCAGGCCACGGATCCATGGTATTAAATTCTACCGTGCTAGAGCTAGAGAGATCTCGCATAATTTCATTCGTTGAGGCGTTCTTGCGCTCATGACTAACATGTTTTAGCAGCTGGTACTCCTTATACAGTACCACATAAACGTAAAAGCATGTTCGCACTGCGGGGAAAGTCACATAACGCAAAAATTCTTCGGTTACAAGTTAAATGATCTCATCTCCCGATTGATGTTCAACTTAGCACTATTAATTCATGTTACTAATCTCTATACTCTATAGGGATTGAAGTCCATTAAGCGCTTTGTCATATCTTCATATACAGTTTTCACTTCTGCGTGTTTATGCTGGTAGTTAGCCATGTGTAGATAGAAATTATTTTGTTTCTGTTTTAAATTGAAGTTAAATTTCATTTCAGTAAGCGAAATTTTTACGAAGTGCTTGGAGTCAGTCGTTCAGCTACTAATCAGGATATAAAACAGGCATATTTCGGTTTGTGTAAGAAGGTATGCAGTTGTTGTGCTTTGTTGTTTTTTTATTTACTTCACCTTTAAAGTTGCATCCAGATTCCGCCTCTTGCAGTAAAAGTACCAGTCGATTTATTGAATTGAACGAAGCGTATACGGTTTTGTCCAGCGCTGCATTACGGTCGCAGTATGATGGCTTCTTGGCTGGCAGTGACCAGCCGAAGTACGACTACTGGTCCTATACTGCAAGGTAAAATGATACATATTTACTGTCGAAATGCTTTTCCATTTATTGTATGGTGTGTTATATAATAAAGGATATCGTACCGTATATTACAATATACGTAGTAGTAGTATATGTATACTATATAATACGAGGATGTGTAATTGTGTAGTAGATTAATACAATTCTGTCCGCTACAGTGATTTAATTTATACTATAGTGCTATTTGAACCTTAATCATGCGTTTCTTGATTCAGTTTGAACCCAGTTTTAGTACACACTCATAAAGCAACAATTTTTTGTTGGCCACCGATGTTTTCATTACTGACAACCGCTAATATTCTCAGAGTTGCACTGTATTGAGTATTTTACTGGTAACCAGTAAGAGAACGCATATATTTTTTAAGGCGTAAGCATTGTTTGAATTTTATTAATTGCATAAATGTTGTATTAATACACATGCAAATATGAGGAGCTGCATATTGGATATTGAAGCTGTTTATTAAACAAATTCCTCAAAAATATAGCTTGCTTCTCACGTGGAAAGCGGGGTACGGCAAACGTCGGCCAAGAGGTCCGTGCAACATTAATGAACAACTTGGAGGCACATCTGCGTTCAGAATGACGTCGCTGTTTGTGTGATGGGTGTAACGGGTGAGTAACGGGTGTATTATAACAAGTGTTGAAAAGTGGAAATCACAAATGAGAGTAATTTAGCATATGCAGGCTTCTTAAGTTGATTTTACCAACATCCAAGCATTTTTATACAGATGTTTTAGTTCATTTATGTTTTCATGTAACGTAAAGACCTACTAAAGAAAAACAATTTTTATACCTGAAAAATGATTCATGAGACAGGGAATGTTGAGGTGCAGTAGAATCTTGAGGTTCTGGGGTATTGAACCTTTGGATCCAAATCTTCTGTTATAGCTGTTGATTAATCCATGTATACAGGGGGGTTGATTGCGCTACTAGTTATTGAGGAATATCATAGACGGATTCGATTTCTGGAATTGATGAGGTATGGTTAAGTGCTATATTTGTTCACTTTATGCTATGTATTTGCTCCATCATATCGACTTATTAAAGATTATGGTTAGGAATGGTTATTATGATAGGTGGTGAACTGAGGTGATTCGGTTCTTCCTTTGGCTGGTTCAGAGTCACCATTCTCTCCTTCGCCACCACAAAGATTTGCTGTCTGTTTTAATCTTTAAGCATTACGTTTTTAGTGCAGAATGGTAAAAAACACACACAGGCAGCCATATTTTAGAGGCTTAATGATGATTTCGAGTTTCTTTGTATTTTGGTTTTACTTTTGCTTATTGTTTTTTAGTTTTATCACTTAAGCTAAGTAAAACTCCCGTTCAGTTTCACCGCCTGACATTATTTCTAGACCTACTTATCCGGATTCTTTATTTTATCATTATCGTGAATCCAACTGGACCAGTGCTGGACAAGAGGACATCGGATGGGTGGGTAGAACAGCGGCTTTTCTGTTCTGCTTTGTGCTGTTCGCGGTGATGACATTTCAGACCATTAGATTACGGTAAGCGGGATCGATTGCACGGATGGTTTTAAGGTAGAAATGTTAAATGCTGATTTTTTGTAGCATAGCGATCCAGAGACGAATGCTTCGTGAGCATCACGCGAGGATGGCAGCGATGTTACACGAAGAAGAACAAATCGCGTATGCATAATTAGTTATATCACTAGTTTTTGTTAGTCATCTGAGGTTAGAAGTTGGACTCTTGTCTCCCTTATGTTTCTATGGGTGAGATTCGTAGTTACTGCAATTTATGGCGTTTATTACGCCAACGTTTATCAGTATTAAATTGTACAACTATTTAAAACTGGTTTACACCATAGAGAATAATTTGTACAGGTCAGTACAGTGGCTTATGTGAGAAAGGCGCACCGCTTCCTTGCATCTGAAGGTCAGGTGAGGGGGGCATTTAAGTAGCCCAAAGCTATAGGGTGTTTGAGTTTAAATAATAAGTGCTAAACTGCTGGCAATGTTGCATGCATTTTCGTGGTACCGACATGTCTGTGAAAAAATTATTCTCATTCAGTGACTGTTGAATACATTACTATCGCCAGTTTTTTAAACAAGATTTAATCTGAAATCGATTCTATTGTCTACGGTTGATGGTGAGGTGCTTGTTATACTGATTGACAGGCCGAGCTTACTCAATCGATAGACCATCAGACTCAGAAGCGAGAGGTCACGGATTTGAGCTCTTGATGGGTCACTTGTCTTTCTTCCATTCGACGTTGACAAATCAATACCACTTTATGGAAAGGAACCGGAGACTACACGCTGTGCACATCACATATCGAAATATCGGTCTTCCTTCACTTTCATTATTGGTCCCTTCTTTTCATGAAGTTGATGGTGCGGTGTTAATCTACGTTTCTATGCTATCAGCTAGCAATGCCGTATTTTAAAGGCATAGTCTAAAGCCATGTGGCAAGTGTAGCGTCTAATCTCATGCTTCCTTTCCACGGACTCATACTCATTTAAAAACCTTGCAAAGAAGAAGAGCTACGCTTGTCACATAGCTACTGTGGAATGTGCTTTTAAACTAAGACACTCTGAGGGTACTTTAAACAGATGACATAGAAGTGCAGATCAGCGTCCCATCGTTAATTTCATAAAAAGAAGGGGACCAAAAACGAGTCCGCATTCCAAAAGTTACAAACTTTCCGTTCCTTTTTACTTGATTATCGTTTAATGTCTCGAGGTTACCTGCCTGATTTCTATTCCATGGTCTCATACACAAAACTAGAAATTTTCCTAGAACCCCTCTGTGACAGGTTGGAACCACCGTTTCTACAAACATCGATTAATTGAAGGCGCGCTCTTGCACCTTCGTGTGGCTTCTCGATCATAAAATGAGATCTGGTGATAGTAACAATGGCCACTTTATGCCATAAACTCTACATACCAATGATGATGCACTGACAGTACTGACAAGATTACGGAATAACATGACAAAATGGAGTATGATGGAATGTGTAGTCTTCCACATCTACGGCGACCATGCAGGGCTGTCACTCACCCTGAAACGGTAGGCTAACGAATTTGTATGACGTTTTGGTGCAAGCCGTTGTGGGTCCGAGTTTTAATGTATACAATGAGCAGATATCCATTTGTATAAGGTATTTGATTTAGTCCCTCATGTTACGTATCCGCACAAACATCAACAAAATAGGACACTTTCGTCAAACTTAATTTCAAAGATCTGTTGTATAATTCCATTGTGGTGGCTGCCTTTAGGACATTAAGTCTGCGTACCATCTTGTGATTATGAATAATTAGATGTCTACCTTAATATCTTGATTCAGAAGAGTTCGACAGTTGTCCGGTAAGCAGGAGACTCGCCTGATCCTTATCCAACGCGCCAATAGTGACGCACGAAGCCGAAGCATCCCATATCGGTTTGACGAAGCATCGGTATCCAGGACAGAGAGAGCTTTTAATGCTGTTAGACTGTCACTCTAGAAAAAAAACAGATATTATCAAAGCCCAGATGGAAGAATTGGGGACTATCGTCTGTAGTAATCCCTATTGAAAGCATTATGGTAAACCATACTTCCACTCTCTGAACAGGGGAGCTCTGAAATACGATGATCGCACTGGTGGCTCTTTGTCTTCAACGATCGACATTTGCTGGTTTTTACGATGGCATAAAATGATTTCCGGTGGAGAAAGCTTAAAACTTGGTCTGCTCAAATCTGAGTTTGGACGACGGGAATATTTTTCAATAGCGAAGAGTGTATCGGCGGATCGATATTCCTACGTACCACATTTTTATACCAAATGGTGCAAGAAACATCGTTGTGCTAGAGGTGTTTCAGTACCGCATGGACATCGGCTGCTTAAACGTCCTGCTAAGTATTAACAGTGCGGATGAAGTACGGTAACGGCGTGTAAGCCATTTCGAATGAATTATGCTAATTACAATAAATATGCTTTAATATAGCAAATTTAGGAACATGACACCTGAAGATTTTGCAGCTTGGCTGCAGGAACGTCGAATCCACGATGTACGGTAGCCACACGTTTAAATCAGGCAGAGTTTGAAACCATAACTAATTATTGACATCTTACTGACATTACTATATGCATTTCTTAATTGTGATGATATGCGCAGGCTTGCAAGGCTAAAGAGGCTGTTTTTTTGTTGTAAAAAGCTGTGCTTGAAGAAATTCAAAAATAAGTTTCAACTAGTGATTATTTATTAAAAAGTTAAATTTGATTCGCATACAAAAGAAAGATTTTCTGTTTAAAAAATATTTAGCGAGCTTTATACAAATTACCTGAATTCTTTATGCTGGTGTTACGTTTGTCATGACCAAATTCTTTCAAGGATTTACTCCGCAGTTTAAATAACATCCGATGTTTCGGACCTATATTTAAAGGATATTATGCTATAACAAGTGGTAAACAATGCACTGACATTGCTGGAATCTTTTGCAGTTATTGTTACATAATGTCCCCTGACGATGAATCCAGCTTGATCCGATAGGTCTCGATTTTGTTTAATAAAATGTTATGCGGAGAAAACCCTTTGAAGATTTTGGCGATGATGTAGTAGTAGTAAGAACGAATGTAGAAATCATCCGATTTGTGTGGATTCAGCCTACTTAAGTTAAATCATATAAGGAATCAAAACGTTGAACCACATGGTCTAGTAAACTTATTATGCACAATCATTCTGTAAAAAAGTTTTCTCACGTTCAAAAATAAAACTTCTGAGAGGCATATCGAAGTGGATAGTGCTCGCTGTACCGTCACTTGTCATTAACTCGTACTACGTAAAAGCTGAGTCCTTGCCTAGGCTTATTGAATTATTTCAGTTCTTGAGATTCATTTCTAGTTACCATAGCGTTGATTTTACTATGCAGTTGATATCTTAATACTGCCGTTCGACACAGGTATTATATCTGTCGCTTAGATCACCGGCTGCAAAATGAATTGCAGCCCTCTGCAGATATTTTTGTTTCTCCTTTGGGCAGAAACCGGGCACTGACTTACTTCGTCTACTTACTTCAAATGCTATACCACCTTAGTGCGAAAACGAAAATAACACCATGCGTTTAGGGAATGTTGCACATTCTTTAATGTCGTTTTGCTTTTACGAATGAACCAGGCAATATAAAACGAATTTGGTAGTAAAACATCATACAGTACGTTAAAGACAAAAAATAATAAATTAAAACAAAACGTCCAAAGGCTGTCGCTTCGAAACTTCAGATGAGGCGAGAGATGATTATAGAGAAAAAATGTGTACATCGATCATCGTATCATTTCAAACACACAAAACTACAAATTCGAATTATATTATTAGATAAGCACTATTTATAATAAGTCATGGAGGAATCGTAAAAGTAAAACGTAAAAAGAAACGAACGTCTAGTACTATCAAAAACAAATAGTATAAGTAGCGAAGTAAGACTCTGGCAACCAGTCGTTATTTGAGTACTGTCACAGATCGTCAAACCGTTGACCAAAAAGATCAGTGAGCAAAGTCAAAAGGTCTGAAACTAAGGCTCTCATACTTCTTTGTCCTGAAATTAAAAAGGAAAGAATTTAATATAGGCATTAAATTATTTTTACATATCTGTACATTTAAGTTACATGCAACCGCATACATAATACAGCTGATATGTCGAATATCTTATAGCATGTGAAATGATGTATTGAAGGGGGAAAACGTTTGCGGAGGTCAGAAATCCGATGAGCCAATAGGGAATCAAGTTAATAGAGAATCAAGTCAATAGAGAATCTGGGAATTTTCCGCTTTATACAAGTTAGACTGTATACAAAATCTAACAATGTACATCAGAACGGCGCGGGACTAGTTGCAGAGTACCTAAAGAAAAAATATAATCTTGTTATACACTGCATAGAGCACATCTATACATGAATTCTAATGAGCGAAGATCCAGCAATTGCAGGAAGAATCTCCTACCATCATGTAAGGCACTCTGACACGGAATGGATGAGAAACGATCACTGCGTCGAAGGCCTTGTGTGGGCGAATGGCGAGCAAATTACCAAAGTTTTTATACCCTGAGTCGTCAAGTGGATCCCATGAACTCACTAGACGGAGAGATCAGCAGAAGGGAAGTGGCAAGAGCCAGCTTCAATCATATTAAAATATCATTATTCGACAATGTGTTGTCAACTACAGCTCGATTCAACCGTTCTATTCGGCGGTGAACGTTCTTCTGCAACTGAAGCTGTGGAAATGAAACTGATGGCCAGGCAAAGAGCGATAGAACGATAAGTGTGCAAAGTATCGCTCCGGGATCACGTTCCAAGCTCTCAAATTCGACAATAGACCGGTTTAACTTGACGTGATCTTTGCTTTATATAATTCCATCAGAAGATAAGCCGGCCATCTGATTAGCCTGAGAGGCAAGCAGGTTTCGCTTGAGTACGAATGTCCACTGAGTCGACCAAGAACACCTTTGGACGATTCAATGACCAAATTTCTTGCCCAGAAAGTGTGTAATAAAAAATGCTAGAGGTGCGTCGACTTGTGTTCATGGTGTACTCATAACATATATATGGTATAGCTACAGATATATTACTCTAACAATTTAGTGTAACATAACTAAGCATAAAAAATATTCTATATTGTATGTATGGAATGCAAAATGTAAGAGTATTACTTGTTTAAATAGACAT